TAAAAAACAAATTTAAAAGCTACATTTATTTAAAAAAAAGTTTCTGAAAAACTGGACTGTGATAATGAATATATAGGTGCTGTCACAGCATTAAGTGCACGGTGTGTTCTCCATCCGTAGCTAACCCTTTTCTACTATCTACTCTAGTATAGCGATAAATGTAGCTTCGCTAGACTAATACACCAACTCCCAGGCCTTCCTGCTCGCCTCATGGATACGGTTCCTAATATCTATATTTATTGGACCACTAATTTAATTTTAATTGAGGGCTAAGAGAAGGTTAATCATTTCCTTTGCAATGAAACATGTTTTGAAAAATAAATATTATTTTCCATCTTTTATCACCATAATCTCAAATGGAGAATACCATCTAACAACAAGAAAATATTCAAAGGATAAAAACCCAGAAGGAAAAATAAAGTACTTGTAATTATGTTTTATATTTTATATAAAATATTACCTGCTTGTGTTTGTTGTTGTTTTTCTCATGTAGTCTAAAATTGGGAGTTCCATTTAGGGATTGGTGCTGGTCTGATATACGGAGCAATGGACCCAAGGTTCAGGTAGACAGCTTGTGGACATGGCCATAGGAAGGACTTCTTAGAACCCAGTTGCCTGGGTGACCAGGTACACCCTCCAACGATTAAAGAAGCCAGTGGTGAGATCTGCCTCAGATATGACAGGAGATATAACCAGTGGTAGAGATGATCCTTAGTCTTATATCTAATCTTTTTAAATATTGTATTTGGGGGGCAAAGATTTCTTGATAGAATTTGAGGACTTCACCAATTCTTTTTTTTAAGATTTATTTATTTATGCATACAAGAACTGGGGTACAGGACAGAGGGTTGGGGAGGTGAGAGAATCTACCAGAGACAGAGTGGGGAGCAGAACAGGCAGATCCACTGAAATACACTGCTGAGGGGAGCAGTGGGCAAGACAGGAGAGGTCTGCTGTGCCATGTGGGTAGCTCCCTGGCCAGGAACCGAGCTCATTCTGCAGTGGCTGCCAATAGCTTCAAAGCGCTGAGTTTAGCACCTTGCACCACCAGGGAGGCCCACCTTCACCAATTCTACAGCTTAGGACTTTGGCTGAGGTGTAATGTGGCTGACTGTGCCTGTGTTGTTGTGTGTATGCATGTATGTGTTTCTGCATGTGTGTCCATGTGCAGAAGTGAGTGCATGCACATGTGAATGTGTATGCATGTGTGGGCATGCATGCATGCACTCAGGGGTTATGGAGCACTTATTAGTCAAATTTGATTTGCGAATATCATTAGGTAAAAATCACCTCTAAAAAAGTGCTGTCTGGTGCATACATTAATATGGGCTTGGGGCTCTATGACAAGATATGTGGTTTTAAAATAAAAACTAAATTCCAATTGTTCTCTACATCAAGAAAGACCTAGAACTGTTCTGTGTGGTTTGGAGGAGACAGTGTAGAATCTTCTATCCATCATCTGTTATCTATATATATCTATAATCTTTCATTATATTATCTGTCCCTTACTGGAGACTGAGAATTAAAATTTTATTCCTTAACATTTATTATATATAATATATAGAGCTCAGTGAATGGATTTTCATCCTCAGAATACCCTTTCTGTTTTTTTGAAACCTTTCATTTTGTGTTAAGAATTTTCAAGAGTGCAATGGTAAGGACTTATTCCATAGCAAATGTGTGATACCCAGTCTAAACCGGCTAAGTAAAAGGCTTGTTCTTCTGACTTCAACGATACCACATGCTCAGTACACACTTGTGAACACTCAAGCAATGCCATTTTTATCCATGCATTCATTATAATTCACTACTTTTTATTTGTATTTTTGTTCATCACCTCTCCCTCATAACATTGAAACCTCCTCTTTTATTAATGTCCTTTTGTTTTTATAAATATTTCTTTTGTCAAAGCTATGTAAATGTGCATTATTTGTCTTTGATTTACTATAAGTAATTCCCTGTATATAATTATTATACACAATTCCCTTCAATTCTGTTCACCCTTGGTTTAAATGGCAACATTTCTTCTTTCCTGATGGCTGGATAGTTTTCCATTGTACTGACATGCAACATCTTCTTTTTTAAAAAAAAATATTTATTTATGCAGACAAGAGCTGAGGTACTGGCCAGAGATGTGGGGGGTGAGAGGATTCACCAGAGACAGAGTGGGGAACAGAACAGATTGACCGAAGTACACTGCTGAGGGGAGCAGCGGGGAGACAGGTAAGGTCTGCTGCGTCATGTGGGCATCTCCCTGGCTGGCCAGAGGATCGAACTTGTGCTGCAGAGTCTGTAGACAGCTTCATAGGTTGCGTCTTAACCCCTTGTGCCACCAGGGAGGTCCTGCAACATCTTCTTAATCCAGTCATATATCAGTGGATGCATTGTTTCAATGTCTTAGCCTTTGTAACTAACGTTCCAAAAAATAATTTAAAACATAATTTTTTGAGTTTATGGTTTCATGTCCTTTAGATACTTGCAAAAGCGAGTCAAATAGTATTTCCATTTTTGTTTGTTAAGGTAGATCCAGATCACTTTCTAAAATGGCTGCACTGCAGTACTTATAACAGCCAGACTATGGAAATAACCTAAGTGGTCAAAGATAGGAGAGTGAATCTAGAAGATAAGATGGATATACACATGGGAGTATTACTCAGTGATCAAAAAGATAAACATGCAGCGACATGGCTAGATCTGGGAGGGATTATGCTAAGCCAAATGAGTCAGTGGGGGAATGTTAAATAACACCTGGTGTCACTTACATGTTGATTATAGAGAATCCAAACAAAGATCAGATAAATCCAAAGTCATAACCTAATCTTTGAAAGTTAAGTATAGAACTGAGGGATTCAGAGGGGAGGTGAAGAGGAAAGGACCAGCACAAAGTGTGGAGGGCGCACAACAGTCTGTGGTAGTGGGGTGTGGGTACTTTGGTAGTGGAAGTGCTATAGTAACACTCCTGAAGGGGGGAGATCTTATATTTACAAAATGAAAACTTATAAAAACCAATGCTATCACCTAAAAAGTATTAAAAATAAAATGAACACACAAAAAACAACTATTGGAAATATGCCTTCCAACTTCATAATGTGCATGACCATCAATGTTAATAAGCTTTGGGGGAGGGCAGCTAGAACTCAGTGGGCAGCTTGTGTTTCCTTTCTCAACATTTATTCCAAAATCACATTTATAGCTGTTTTTATCTGCTCTTTGGATTTTCTTATATGTGGCTCATCATTAATTGTAAAATAAAAACCTACTCACTGAAAAAAAAATCAATTATTTACATATTTAAACATAGTTAAATTACAGAAGAACAGAGGCATTCCCACTGTGGAAAATATAACTAATATTGAATATAAAATTTAATGCTGTGGGAGTGGAGTGAAGCAGGGAAAGTGGGAGATGTTATAAGAACAATGTATTGTTTGGGGGGCCTCCCCTGGTGGAGCAGCGGTTGTGTGCTGGGCTGCAAAGCTGCCTGCAACCTCTGCAGCGCCAGTTGGATCCCCGGCCACCAGCGAGGGTCCCACATGGCACAGCAGACCTCTCCTGCCTTGCCCGCTGCTTCCCTCAGCAGTGTACTTTGTCAGTCTGCCTGTTCTGTTCCCCGCTCTGGCTCTGGTGAATTCTCTCACCCTCCCGCACTTCTGACTGTACCCCAGTGCTTGTATAAATAAATAAATAAATCTTAAAAAATTATAAATTATTCTTTAAAAAAAAAGAACAATGTATTTTTCTTTCCTCTTTTCAAGGCTTAAAAATTTTCAGATATTTAAATAACTGAACACAAAACTCTTTCTCTCTCTCTTTCTCTATCTCTCTCTATATACACACTGTAATATATTTATAATGTACTAGAAAATACAAAAAAAATTAACAGAATTTTAAACTATACTCATACTCCTATGAAAAATCAATATTAACCTTACAATGTATTTCTTTCTGTAATTGTTAGCTAATGAAGTATCATTTTAAATCAAATGGGCATATGGTTTTATAAAAACTTTTCTAGCATTAATAAACACTATGAATTTGTATTCTGTATTGTTCATCTCTTTAGTCTCAGCATGTTGCATAGTTTGCATCTTGCATTTTTATTGGCACTCTATATTACTTAAATGAGTGGGGGGAGTCATTGTATAGGATTCAGCAACTTACCCCATCCCTCAGTGTTATCCTCAGTCATTCTGTTGTTGATTTTGCTCTAACTTTTTGAATAGAGTTGACTGGCACTTGCCCATAACAGGAGTGCTTATATTCTATAGGAAACCTGAGCTGGGCCTCCCCTGGTGGGGCAGGAAGTTGAGACCCTCACTGTGAAGCTGTCTTCAGCCCATGCATCACTGGTTCGATCCCAGCCAGGGGTCCCACATGGCACGCAGACCTCTCCTGTCTCCCCCGCTGCTCCCCTCAGCAGTGTGTTTCCTCAGTCTGCCTGTTCTGTTCCCCACTCTGTCTCTGGTGAATCCTCTCACCCTCCCACGCATCTGGCCTGTACCCAGGTTCTTGTATAAAAATAAATAAATCTTAAAAAAAAAGAAACCTGAACTTATAGATTTCTATATAAACCACATTGTGTCACACAGAGGGTGATAATTTACACTGTTCTAGCAACATCCAGCAAAATACCACTGCCTCTCCCACTTCCAGCAGCATGAATACATGCAACTCATTTAATCATCTTGAGCTTCAGTTTTGCCTAGTTTTTGTATTTAACTGACTTAGACTAGGAGAGTGCTAAGACCTCTTTTAGTTCTAAATTCCATAATACAACATTTTCCCCTAAATTTGAGTACTGTGGAGGTATTTTCATCTAATTTATCATATTTCTACTTATTCAATTGCTTATTCATTCATTTATTGTATTGAGGTAACATAAGTTTGCAACACTGTATAGGTTTCCAGTCAGCAATTTCTTACCTCAGCAAATGTATATACATACAACCAAAATAAAAGGAAAAGAAAACGGCTAAACCAGTTTAAATTCACACCAATAGTGTATTATGGCTCCTCTTTCTTAGTCCTCTCCAGAGCTTGCTATCGGTGGTCTTTTGACATGTATCATTCTCGCAGAAGCATTAAGCCAACCTAAAAACAGCCTATAGGAAGGAAAAATATTTTCACAACACACAACTGACAAGTGGGCTAATCTCTAAAATTTGCACTGTTCTTATACAATCCAGCAACAAAAACCAAACAATCCAACTTAAAAAAAAATGGCAAAGGACCTAAATAGATGTTTTTATAAATAAGACATTCAGATGGACTACAGACATATGAAAAATTGTTCAACACCTTTTATTATAAGAGAAATGCACTTCAAGACCACCTTGAGGGCCTCCTTGTTGGCACAAGGGGTTAAGACGCAACCTGTGAAGCTATCCCCAGCCAGCCACCGCAACACAAGTTCAATCTCCAGGCACGGAGCTACCTACATGGCACAGCAGACCTCTCCTGACACGTCCGCTGCTCCCCTCAGCAGTGTATTTCAATCAATCCTCCTGTTCTGCTCCCACTCTGTCTCTAGTGAGTCCTCTCACCCCCCCCCACCTCTGGCCTGTATCACAGGTTTTGTATGCATAAATAAATTAATCTGTAAAAAAAAAAAATACCTTGAGATACCTCTCACCTGTACCCATATAAAAATGAATGGAATCAACAAACGCTGAGGTTGTAGTGAAAGGGAACTCTTATTCATTGTTTGTGTGCATGCACATTGGCACGGTCCTTGAGAAACTGGCATGACTATTTCTTTTTTTCTTTTTTTTTTAACTCTTTTTTTTTTAAGATTTATTTATTTATTTATACAAGCACTGGGTACAGTCAGAAGCACGGGAGGGTGAGAGAATTCACCAGAGCCAGAGCGGGGAGCAGAGCAGGCAGAAGGACCAAAGTACACTGCTGAGGGGAGCAGCGGGCGGCAGGAGAGGTCTGTGCACCATGCAGGACCCTCCTCCGGTGGCCGGGGAGCAGCTGGGGATTGAACCGGCTATACACCAATATCCCTGAGGAATATTGTTGCAAAATTTTCAACATAATACTAGAAAATCAAATTTAGAAATACATGACAAACATCATGCATAATGTTCAAGTGAGATTTATTCCAGGGATGCAAGGATAATTTAACATATATATATATATATATATGTATATATATATATATCAATGTAATACAGTATATAAACAACAAGAGCAGCTTCGCAACCCAGCGCTCAACCACTGCGCCACCGGGGAGGCCCTGGCATGACTATTTCTTTAAAAAAATAAAAATGGAAATCCTGTACAGTCTGGCAATACATCTTTGAGTAATTTATCCAAATAATGTGAAAACTCTAATATGAAAAATATGTCTATGCCCATGTACATAGTGCACTCTCCACAATTACCAAGTCATAGAATCAACCTAAATTCCCTTCAACAGATGAATGGATAAAGAAATTGTGGAATATATTTTTGTCACAGAAACAGCTGTGAAAACAAAAAGATGAAATATTGGCAATTGGGAAAAAATAAATGGATCTCAAGGTGATTATGTTAAGTAAAATAAATCAAAAAGTGAAAAATAGATATTGGGTGGATTCATTCATCGGTACACTATAAATAACCAAAAAACATATCCAGTCATAGTAGGAATAAACTTGAACTCATTGAAAGAATATGGTGATTGCCACAGGCAACATAGGAGGGAGGTAGATGAGGTATTGGCGCTGATGATATGTACATATATGGAAGAGCAAATATTGAAATAAAAATTGAGAAAAAATATATTGATATTTCAATTGGGATTGCATTAAATCTATGTATTACTTCTGATGGAATGCTTATTTTGGTTATATTTTCCCTATCCAGGAGAATGAAATGTCTCTTTAGCGCTTTATTTCTTGCTCAATATAATTTTTTAAATTTATTTTACATCAGTATTCATTTTTTAAAATTAAATTATGTATATTTTTACATCATTTTTCATTTTTGCACAATGTATGCATTTTCATCTTGGTTATAATCCCCATACAATTCCCACCTCCCCTTATTTTGACCCTAATACTTCCTCTTCTCCCCCTCTCCACCACGTATGTTGTCTCTGGTTTATAGGTGCTGGATCAAGAAGATGTGGTACATAAACACAATGGGATATTACTTAACAATCCAAAAGATAAACTCATGCAATTTGCAGCAACATGGATGGAGCTGGAAGGGATCATGCTCAGTGAAATAAGCCAGAAAGAAAGAGAAAAATACAAGATGGTCTCACTCATAGCAGGAATTTAGAAAACCTAAATAAGGGACCAGGAAAAAGACTAATTATAATAAAGTAAAAATCAACATCAATGTTCATTTTTAAACAACATTTGCTTCCTGCCATACCCTCAGGTGTAGTCCCCATAGAATTTCTTTCATCAATGCATCTGTGCACCATCACCTCAGTTCCCTGTGCTCCTCCCTTCCTCCCTTTAGTAGAGTCATGTAGCTTTTTTTTGTGTAAATCCTTTGCCCCCTCAGTAAGGATAATACCTAGTTATTTGATTCTTTGTGATGGAATTCTGAATGGAATTATTTTCTTAATTGCTTTTTTCTCATTCATTTTATGTAAAAATGCAACAGATTCTTGTATGTTTGTTATAGGACAGGGAGAGGGGCAGCCCAAACCCTGCAAACCTGCCTATTCTAAATGGGTTCTGCCATCCGCCGCATCAACACAAAACATATGAGACTTTAATGGGAAGGAACTTTAATAAAACTAGGAAACAATGCAGGTAAGGCAAAGAGTCTAGTTTCTAAATGAAGCATCCAAAGTTACCCGTCCCCTCGTGAGTAAAAGTCCATCCATATGGGAATGACGCAGAGCAAGGCCCCAAAGCCTGCCACACGTCTAAAGCATCTTCCAGTGGGGACCCACAGAAAAGGGTCACAAACAACCGGACAAGCCCGGAAGGAAAAGAGCAAAATCAACATCAAGATAAAAGCTGCCATTGTCACCTCTCCACGGGTCTCACCCACATCTGTGTCACCCAGTCCACGACCAAAAAGACAAGCTGTTTCTTCACATGTCTCTAGGCTCCATGCGCCTCCTCCAGGTCTCCTGGCTCCATCCTGCTTCCTTCCTCAGTCTCTTTTGCCGCTTCTCCCCTTCCTGCTCAGCTCCACCCTCCCTTGGGTGGGGCAGGGAACCTCCCCCTTTCCTGGGGACCACCCTGTTACATGTTGATTTCATAACCTACTGCTTTGCTATGTTCTTTTATTGTTTCTAACAGCTTGTTGGTATTGTAGATAGTGTTTTCTCGATATATTATCATATTTTCTAGGAATAATGAAAGTTTCATTTCTTAGTTTTCAACATGCATTTCTTTTATTTCCTGTAGTTTATATACTGTATTACATTGATATATATATGTTAAATTATCCTTGCATCCCTGGAATAAATCTCACTTGAACATTATGCATGATATTTGTCATGTATTTCTATATTTGATTTTCTAGTATTTTGTTGAAAATTTTGCAACAATATTCCTCAGGGATATTGGTGTATAGTTTTCTTTTCTTGTTCTGTCTTTGGATTTGGTATTAAGGTAATGTTGCATCATAAAATATATTAGGGATCATTCCCTCTTGGATTTAATAAAATGAGCAAGATGGATATAAATTCTTCTTTAAAAACTTGATAGAATCTTGATAGAATTCTCTTTGTAAAGCCATGTGGCCCTAGAGTTTGTTTTTTGTTTTTGTTTTTTTTAAGATGCTTGCCATTTCAATTTCCATTATTGTAATCAGTTCATTCAACTATTCTCTTTGTTCTTGGTTTAGTCTTGGTAAATCATATTGTTCCAGAAATTTAGCAATTTTAAAGGTCATTGAATTTGCTGAAGTACATAGTAATATCTTATGATGTTTTGAATTTCTGTGACATATGTTGCAAATTCCCCATTTCTAATTCTGTTCATTAATTTTTTTTGATATTCTGATCTTTATTAGTTTAGCTAGAAGTTTATAAATTTTATATATCTTCTTGAAAAACCAACACAGTTACATTGATCTTTTTATGGTATTTCTATTTCACTTGTTTTTTGCTCTTAATTTTATTATTTCCTTTCTTCTATAATGTTAGGTCTTGCTTCTTCCTCTTTTCCATGTTATTTTAGGTATAATATTTTTATCCGAGATTTTTGTTTATCTTAGTGTGAGCCTATATTGCAATTATCTTCCCTCTTAAGGCAGGTTTTGCTGCATTCCATAAATTCTGATAGCTTAAATCTGAGTTTCACTAGTTACAATGCATTTTTTAAATTTTTGCTTTATTTTTTTTAATCCACTGGCTACTAAACAGCGTATTGTTTACTCTCCATGTATTTGTAGTTTTTCCTGTTGTTTTTGTGGTTGATTTCTAGCTTTCTGGCATTATGGTGAGAAATAATATTGGATATAATTCAATCTTTATAGTTTTATTACCAATTGTCTTGTGTCTGTTCTTGAAAATATTTCTTGTGCACTTTATAAGAATCTGTATGCAGTGATATTGGGGTGGAATATTCACTAGATATCTTTTAAGCCCATTTAATCCAAATCTTCATGTGAATCTATTATCCTTATTAAATCTGTCTTGTTGAAATGTCCATAGTTTTAAGAGAAATATTAAAAAAAATTATCTAGTAATATTTTGTTGTTGTCGATATATGTATTAGTGCTTTTAATATTCAACTTGTATGGATAGGTGCTCTATCACTTGGTACATACATATTTATAAGTGCTATTTCTTTTAGTTGCATTAAGCCCTTTATCATAAATCAATGTCCATGTCTATCTCTCATTACTTTTCCTTGCAAATCAATTTTATCTGATATAATGTAGCTGTTCCTAAGTTTTTGACTGTCATTTGCTTGTAGGATTGTCTTCTAGCTTTTTTTTCTTTTATTAAAATTCATTTATTGGGCCTCCCCGGTGGTGCAGCGGTTGAGCACTGGCTTGCGAAGCTGCCCGCAGCCTCTGCAGCGCCGGTTCTATCCCCGGCTGCTCCCCAGCCACTGGAGGAGGGTCCCACATGGCGCGCAGACCTCTCCTGCCGCCCGCTGCTCCCCTCAGCAGTGTATTTCGGTCCTTCTGCCTG